CTGTCGGAGGGTCAGTGCTGAGGAAGTGGGCACTGTCGGAGGGTCAGCGCTGAGGGAGTGCCGCACTGTCGGAGGGTCAGTGCTGAGGGAGTGGGCACTGTCGGAGGGTCAGTGCTGAGGAAGTGCTGCACTGTCGGAGGGTCAGCGCTGAGGGAGTGCTGCACTGTCGGAGGGTCAGTACTGAGGGAGTGTCACACTGTCGGAGGGTCAGTGCTGAGGGAGTGTCACACTGTCGGAGGGTCAGTGGTGAGAGAGCGCCGCACTGTCGGAGGGTCAGTGCTGAGGGAGCGCCGCACTGTCGGAGGGTCAGTGCTGAGGGAGTGGTTACTGTCGGAGGGTCAGTGCTGAGGGAGCGCCGCACTGTCGGAGGGTCAGTAATATGGGAGCGCCACACTGTCGGAGGTCAGTGTTGAGGGAGTGGGCACTGTTGGAGGGTCAGCGCTGAGGGAGTGGGCATTGTCAGAGGATCAGTGCTGAGGGAGTACCGCACTGTCGGAGGGTCAGTGCTGAGGGAGTAGGCATTGTCAGAGGTTCAGTGCTGAGGGAGCGCTGCACTGTCGGAGTTATATCTTTTGGATGAGAAGTTAAAGTAAAACCCTGCCTGTTCTCTGAACTGGATATAAAAGGAGAGCGGGGAGATTCCTTGGTATCCTGGGACCAGTATTGTACTTAAAGTGAACTGTAAACTATATGTAATTGTGGTAATCTTCACTGTTTTCTGTCCATGGTCAGTATATCAATAACTCTGCTTCTGTCCCACATCTGTCTCAGTAACGTCTTTCTCTTCCCACTCTCTGCCTCGCTCCCTCTCTCCTCCCTTTCGTCAATCCATCCCTCCCTCATTTGATCTCTCTCCATCTGTCTTTTCCTTTGTGTCTCCATCTGTCTCCCTCTCTTCCTCCCACGGCCTCTCTCTGTCTCCTTCCCTCCCTCCCTGTTTCTTGTTCCCAGGGCTGCATGAACAACATCACCTTTGGTAATGAGCGAGTGGGTTATTATGAGACAGTAGCTGGAGGATCTGGAGCAGGTCCTCACTGGGATGGGCGAGGAGGGGTTCACACACACATGACCAACACCCGGATCACAGACCCCGAAATCCTGGAGAAAAGGTACCGTTCCCAAACCAAATGTTGTCACTGGTTTCGGAATCAACCCGGACCAGGCCAGAATTTAATTGTTAAGGTGGTTAATTGGTCACGTTTTTTGACACCAGCAATTTATTCTTGATTGGTTCGTAACAGAACCAGACTTGAAGTTCTGATTTGCCCGGGGTAGGGGGGGATTTGAACTCTCATTCTCTGAGTTACTAGCCCAGTAACAGAATCCCGACATTGCTGGGAACACACATTTCTGCCTTCAGTTTGTGAGTTCCATTCATCCTTCTTGGATTCATTCCCAGGTATCCCGTCATCCTGAAGAGATTTGAACTGAACCGAGGATCAGGGGGTAAAGGTCGCCATCCTGGGGGTGATGGAGTCATTCGGGAGCTGCTGTTCCGAGAGAGAGTCGTCCTGTCAGTGCTGACAGAACGGAGAGCTTTCTGTCCCTACGGACTAAACGGTAACGCCTAGAGAAACCTTCCCATGGGTTAGGGGACAAGGTCATTGCAGCAGGACAAGCAGTAACACACACACCCTCACACACACACCGTCGCGAATACAGTAACATGCACACACTCTCTCGAATACAGTAACACACACACATACACTCTCTTGAATATAGTAACAAACACACTCACACACACTCACATACTTTTGGATACAGTAACACGCACACACTCTCTCGAATACAGTCATATACACACGTACTCTCCCAAATACAGTAACAAACACATTCTCTCAAATACAGTGACACACACATACACTTTCTTGAATACGGTAACACAAACACACTTTCGAATACAGTAACACACACATACTCTCAAATACAGTAACATGCACATACACACACACTCTCAAATACAGTAACACACACACATACATACACTTTCGAATACAGTAACACAC